AAATAATTAAAAAGTAATGCCATTTCTAAGAACAAAAAAATAAACGATTGAACCGCAAACTAAGCGACGAACGATGCGTGTTAGAATAGGCCACTGTATGCGGGTTTGTCGTTATTTGAAGAAAAAAGGAATTAAACACGATAAAATAAAATTTCTTTTGATTCCTWAAGAAATTGATAGACTTCGGTAATAGAATCTGATCGAGTTCGGTTCATATCTTAGGCGAGAGCGATGCTCACAAAATTTCCCACTCATCATCAAATATTGCATTTCACCATAGGGGACCCTCTATTAACTCTGTAATAATTAATGRAATAATTGGGTTTCTTTTAATTTTTCCTCAGATGAATTAGAATCAGTTTACTAAAAGTATAATCTGGCAATGGAATGTAAGACAGTTGCAATGACGTTTGATGATTTGATGATTGAGAACAAAAGGGCAAACCAGAAACTGAAGGAAATTCATCATTTTGATACCCAAAACCATTTAAAAAAACCCAGCGATGATCGAAGCAAAGTCCTTAGTAATAGTAAAAAAATTGAGAATTGCAARCAAGAAGTAAATAACCTTAAGAAAGAAGCGGTRAATCTGACGAATGAATTAGAAGAACTTGAGGAGGAAAAAGAAGCGCTGAGCAAAACCTATCATGAAAAGGAATCTAGGCTAAAATCTTTGGAAAAAGCCGTTGAACAAGACAAAATAAACCAGGAGAAAGAAATGAAGGAATTTGATAAAAGCCATGCAAAAAACATCCACAAATTACAGGACGAGTTTGAGAGAGAATTGAATGAAGCCGATTATAAMTTTAAGGAAAAAGTCACAGAAATCAATGAAGTTAATAAGCGACTCAACCAAGAAATAACAACGCTGAAAAAAGAAAATCTCGATATAAATTATTGCCAGTCTTATATTGGGCGAGTATGTTTGATTCTACAGGCCATAATGTATCACATCGTGCTGCCCGACCAGTTTGCTGAAGATTACCCTTACAAAGTAAAGGACATTGAAGAAGATATTGACGATGAATACTTGCTCGATGACCACGAAAGACAAGAAGCTTGGAAAAGGTGGGAGGATTTGAAGGAGAAGCTTCGTTGGGAACCTTCTATTGAGAAAACGTTGAAAATGTTACAGAAAGAGGGAAACTCCATGGACAAACCAGAAGTCCTGACGGTTGAAGAAGCAGAGAGAGTTGCCGAAGAGCTGAACAAACAAGGTAGATTAAGAGGAAGAACTTCATACGAAAAAGTCAAAAAAATCATCAAGATGTGGAAAATATCCCGCTATACATTGGCTCAGCCGTTGCCATGAACAAGTATTCAGTACATATTGATGTGCATGGTAAATGTTCTTAACTTTTGATGCCGTAAGTTTAAATTTTCGGCATTACTTCTTGATCAAAACTGCACCAAATTGTTGTTGCTAATCAGTAGTCAACTAAACGAAGTTAAAACTAGGACAATCCAGCTTTGACATTTCATTATTTTACTGCCGTATCGTGATCAGCAGTTGCGGTTTTGTTGCTCGATCTCGACAAATAGTTGATCTATATATTTATGTCGAAACCTACAAAACCTCCGGATAGCTGTATAAGTCAGGACATGCGCAGTGCTACACTCACAGACTGGTAAAAAAAGGACTCAAAGTTGCCAAGCTGACCTGCTGAAGACTTCGATGGAGTCAATGGACCCCGAGTAGTGCAACAACAATACCACATATATTAAGGACAATCTTATAAGATATATTGATTATTTGTTTTTTGACAAAATTCAACCAGCTCAAATATTTTTTCCAGCAAGTCCATTTAGAAGCCAGACCATGTCCAATGAAGAAACCTAAATGAAGTCGATGCTTCAACGTATATGAGATTGCCAGGTTTGTTAGCTCAAATAATTTTGCGTTCTGGATTGTTTGC